TGAATGGAGAGTGCAATTGACACTTTCTGGGAAATTCTGCCTTTGTTAATGCTGACCCTTAGGTTTTCCACCATTCTGGACCATTGTGTGTGCGGGTCGCACTTTGAGATTACTGCTCTCAATTGGGCCACTAAAGCCCCACACTCCAACATTAACTGGATCTTTGGCCCTGGGATACTTTAAAGTCAGCTTGAACTTATTTCACCATTGAGTTTGTTATTTGTTTTTAGCAACCAAGGTTTTTATTTTTTCTCAAGCTTGGACTCTACAGTAGAAAAAAAAAATGTTATCTTTCTCTTTTCTAGTTTTTCTATTTGTTCATTGTGAGTGAAGGAGACTCCTGGTGGTTGGGTTTGCTCTGTTGCCAGAAGTTCCTACTTCAGCAGTGCCTGCTTTCTTTCAATAGATCATGTGGCCTGCTTGGCCTGAGATTTTCTAAAATGATTGTTTAAACACAAGTTATTTAAACATTCACCTGTTCAGAGGCATTTCTCCCCTACTTTTTCACAATTAAGACACTGCTCAGATTATTCTTTTTATATTATTCTTTGACAACATGTCTGATTGTGTTTCCTTAGGTTAGATTTCTAAAATTGGAATTACTAAATCAAAAGGTATGAATATTTTTACTGTTTCTTGCCATATTGCTTTTTAGAAAGATTGGGCCAATTTTTTGTGTGTATTAATAGGATATGAGGATACCCTTCTTACTGCATGCTCATCAACATTGATCATTATATTTTCTTTTTATTAAAATTTTATTTGTTCCTTTTAGTTATACATGACTTTAGAGTCTTATTTTGACATATTTGTACAAACATGGAGTATATCTTTTTCTAATCAGGATGATCATTATATTTTCAACTTTAATAATTTCTTTTTTTTAAATTTTATTTTTTATTAGTTACACATGACAGTACAATGATCTTGACAATTCATACATTTGTCAACTTTAATAATTTCATAAGTGAAAAATATAATTTAATTTTACAAGTCCTATTTACTAGTGAGAAAACTAGTAAATATTTTCTTTGCATATTATAATTTTCTCTTTGTGTTGTTATTATTCCAGAGTTGCTTACATAAAACCTTATAACTATTTTGTATGAGAGAGGTGGAGTGGGCGTTTTCTTATTGATATTTAAGGTCTCTTTTTACATGAAGAATATGTTGATTTTTTTTGTTATAATTGTTAAAAGTAGAATTTTCAGGTTATAATTTGTCTTAGCTTTTATTTTGTTTTTAATGTTCCAGTAGTTAATTTTATGTAGTCAAATGTAATATTCTATTATGTTTTACTTAATTACTGCTTTTTCTATAAAATCTTTCTCTAATCCAATTTAGATCTATATTTTTTTGTATTTTAATTTTTATAGATAGTTCTTATTTAGATTTTATTTTTGTGTATATAAAGATCTTTTGGGGACTGGAGGATATAGCTCAGCACTATAGTGCTTGCCTAGCATGTGTAAGGCCCTGGGTTAGATCCCCAGCACCTCAAAAAGAAAAAAAAAAGTCTTATTTTTCTCTAAGAATAATCTTAGCAACATATTTTAGTAGTACATGGGCAAGTTCCCCTTGATTATATTTTTGGAATGTTTTAAACTATTTTTATTGCTTATTTTACTGTGTGACAAATTGCTCTAAAACTTAGCATCTTACAATAACAGAACGGGGCTGGGATTGTGGCTCAGCGGTAGAGCGCTCGCCTAGCACGGGCGGGACCCGAGTTCAATCCTCAGCACCACATAAAAATAAAAGGCATTGTGTTGTGTCCATCTACACCTAAAAAATAAATATTAAAAAAATATAAATAAATAAAATAACAGAACCTTTATTACCTTTCAGTTTCCGTGGCCCAGGAATGCCGGAGTAGCTTAGTAGGTAGTTCTGGCTTAAGGTCTTTCATGAAGTTATAGTTAAGACATCGGCCAGGGCTACAGTCATCTGGAGGCTTGAAAGAAGCTGGAGAACTGGCATCCAGGACTGTTCACTCACAAGGCTATTGGTACAAGGGCTCAGTTCCAAGAGGGTTGTTAGTAGGTGGTCATAGTTCCTCCACTCATGGACTTTTCCATAGGAATGACTGAGTGTCCTTAAAACTGGCAGCAGGCTTCCCCCAGAGCAAGTGAACCTAGAGAGAGAACAAGGCAGAAGTTACTATGTCTTTTATAACCTAGCCTTTGAAATGATATTTCTTTTCTTCTAAACTTTACTGATCACACAGAGAAACATATATGTGGAGTGAACTACATGAAGTTTTGGGCCTTTTGAAAACTTGTTATCACACTTTTTTTCTAGGAAAGAAAACTTAGAATTGTTATATCTCCCATTGAATAGATTCCTTTTTATTCAGTATCATCTTCTCATTTGCATCCCCATTCCCTTAGAAGTCTATTCTTTCCTTAGTTTTCTGTCCTATGATCATACCTGATTCTTAGATATAAAATCAAGTGAATCTTATCATCTGAGGCTTTGCTATTACTGTCATTACAACTAGCTTAGGGACAAATTATCACTTAAATATTATTATCTTTTTATTTTTCTCACCCAGCATTTATTGGCTGTTGATTTTGATAAAATATTAAAAGAAACATAAATTGCAAAAATGAATCTTTTATGCATAACACATATATCTATAAAAATAGACAGCACAAATGTACTCATACACATGTACACATAGTATCTGAATAACAGAAAGGAGTTCCAAGGTTTTAGGGCCCAAGAGTTTTAAAGGGAAGAACTTATCCAAGCCATCACAGTGATAGAAAGTTAATGAAAACTTCTGTCTTTTCACCCACACTCAATCTGACCACCCTACATTTATAAGTATATAAAAGGTGTTTGAAATTAGAGTAAGTTCAGAATGGAGAAGGGTTGTTCAAATTTGTAGATTGGAGGTCTTATTCCACTTCTGTCCATTTTCTTCCCTGAGGGTTGGTTGTGGTAGTTCCCAATCAACACTGAATTGGATTTGTAGCAGCCAAAAAGTGCTGAGCACACATCAGAGTGTGGATAATTGGGCAGTTTCTCAGTTCCCTAGTGCCACTGACTTGTTTGTGGATTTTGATCCATGATTTCCTCTACCAGACTTTTTCAGAAGGTAAACTTGCAATCAAATTCTGAGTAACTGTTTCCTTCTGTGTGGATTTCTTATTTCCAAACTGCCTGGGAAGTGAGAAGTTGGCTTCTAGAAGAGTAAAGGGCCTGGAAATTAGATGTTAGGCCTGTAGAATACCTGTGGATGTGGTGGCCCTTACAGTTCACATTTTCCAGCATAATACTATTTCAAATATTTTATCATTTTGGCTTTATAAACAATCCAAATGACCTAGAAGTTCTGCTATCTACATCACATTTTCTGAAGTGTTTCTTATTGCTAAAAGAAGCACACAAATTCTTTGTTAGACTGTGATTTTAAAAATATATCATGGTACTGGGGCTGGGCTGTAGCTCAGTGGTAGAGAACCTGCCTCACAGGATTGAAGCCTGAGGCACTGGGTTCAATCCTTAGCACCACATAAAAATAAATTTAAAAAATTGTATCCAGGAAAGAAGACTTTTGGTTCTTTGGTTGTTAAATAATGGGGTTTAGAAAGGCAAAAGCCTCTCTATCACATTAGAAAGAGCTGACTTCATATCCGAGATCTCTGAGGAAAGCCAAGCATTCTTGTTTTTCAGCTATTTACTCAAGTATATGTGTGGGTATTTGATCAGAGTCCACATCAACATCTACTGGGCAGAGCATGATGTTGGGAGCTCAGCTAAGTGGACTTGAACTCTGTTCAAGAGACCTCATAGTTCATAATGGGGAAATGAGATATGGGTATACCTAATAATTAATACAAGTTGGGAAATATAGAAATCTCCCAATGGAGAACAACAGGAAGGATTTCAACCCAACTCCAAATGAGTATGCTAATTCTTATATATTTCTGTGAAATAAACTAATCTACTTATAATGGCTTAAATCAACTACCACCATTTGTTTCTTTATAATTCTGTGATTTTGGTAGTGCTTGGTAGGTATGGCCTATATGGTGTTCTGCTGGGGTGGCTCATCTGGAGCTGAAGGATCCAAAATGGCTTACTCATGTGTCTGTTACTATGACTGGAATGGCTGGGACAGTTGGGGCTGTCTTTTTAGCAGGGTAACTGGGCTTTGCTACATAGTGGTTTAGGATCAAAGAAGAAGAATAGACAGTGTCAGATCTCTTAAAGCCCAGGCCAACTCAGTGCTGACATAGTCATTTCCACGGCATTCTAGTAATAAGAACAAAACACTAGAATAGCCCAAGGTACAGATCTCTCTCTCTCTCTATTTTTTTTATTTGGTGCATATTAATTATATAGAATAATGGGTTTCATTGTACATATTCATAGGTGCACAAAATATAATTTGGTCAATTTCATTCCCCAATACCACCCTTGCTCTTTCTTCCACCCTCTCCCTGATCTTCTTCCTATATGGTCTCCCTTATGTTTTCATGGGATCTCTTTTTCTCCTCTGTTCACTAGTTTCCACATATGAGAGAAAACATACAACACTTGTCTTTCTGATTCTGGCTTATTTTACTTAACATAATTTTCTGAGGAGTAGAATGCCTGTACAGGAATGGAGGAATTTTCAGTGGACATCTGTGCAATATGCATATTGACTTAAAAATTATGTATTAATCTAAAAGCTGAAGAACGAGATCTCATTGTCTTAAATAGCATGTTTTTGGATACTGATGAGGGCTGACTGTTTTTTCTAGTTTCTAAATATATAAGCTTCATAGTTCAGTCTTAATGGGCCATTGCCACTTCTGATGTGCACCTAGTCCAGATTATACCAAGATGATTTCTGCAAAATTTATATTATAAATCATTCTTCCAAGGTGGAAGTTATCTTTCAGGCTCCTTTCCTCTCTTCTTTTACTGCCTTTGCTCTTGACCAGTTATCTGACCATGGCTTCCACCCTTCTTACCCAGGCTTCTGCCTGTTTCTCTTGTTTCAGGCACTAAAACAGGGGCAGATATTAGTGATGGTACCTGTGAGCCTGGACTGTCTTCCCCAGCCTCTTACATGAACCCCCTCCATCTCATCGAGGACTTGAGGCTGGCCCTGGAGATGTTGGAACTTCCTCAGGAGAGAGAAGCCCTCCTGAGCCAGATCCCTGGTCCAACAGCTACCTACATAAAAGAATGGTTTGAGGAGAGCTTGGTGAGTAGGTCCATTTCTTGATGGGGAAACATGAGAAACATCATCATATAGCTTAAGGAATACCACCACCACTGGCCAGTTTGACTAATCTGTACATCCTGTATGTAGCCTTTTCTTGCTTTCCATCCAGCTTTGGCCAATCCCTGCTGAGTATACCTTCCCAGCAGGAGTTTAGAACTTAGTCAAGCAGTTTAAGCTATATGTTCTACCTTCCTGTGGTCTACAGTCAGTCTCTCCTGAGAAGAAGAAATCTAGGGCCAGAGAAGGGCAAACATGGAAGTTTCTCCTACTCCCAGGATTATATGCACTAATTACTGAGTTATAATCCCAGGTTGGGGTTTCTACCCTCAACTGGATTCCATTACTCCTTGTTTCTTTCCTCAATCTAGAACTTGCTTTGTTCATTCATTTCTTTACTTTTGCCCCTACTCCTTACCCTAGAACTATTTCCTATCTTGAGAATGGAATGTAGATTTGATAACTATCCTCCTATTCACTCTAGATTAGGTTCACAGACCTGCTCAGTCTAGGGGAAACATATGGGTAACCAAAGCCATAACAGATTTGTAGCTTTGTTAGCCATCTGCTTTCCCAAGGCGAACAGCAGGTCTTAAGAGTTAATAATATCTAAGAATGAGTAAGGTGAGGAGTTAACCCCTTGAGGAGGTAATCTGGAATGCAACCATTGGTGGGCTGGAGGAAGGACAGGATGATGGGAAGCCAGTTTGACAAAGTGTGTGATTACCTAAACTGAGTTTAAGAATGAAGGCTGAAGGAGGAGCCAAGATGGTGGATTAGTGGGAGGCAGCTTTTCTCAGAGCTCCATAATTTGGTTGGGACTCAAAAGTGAGAAAACTACTTCTCTGTGAGATGAGTGAAAAAAACACTCCATTGATACTCAATATTAGACAGAGAGCCTTGAAGACTGGGAAATTTGGGGTACATCAGACAAAACTAAGGAACAGAATTGGAACTGGGTTCCAGTGGGAATGGGCAAAATTAATATACAAGGTTGGAAAAAGACTGAAAAGTGTTGGGAAAGTCTTGGCATGGGGAATCCCAGCATCAGCAGGGTAGTCTGTCCTAGGCTGACCAAGCGGCTATTCAGCTTATTAAACTAGTGCTCAAAAGTCCTGGTCTGCCTGCCCTGAACAGGGAGCCCAAGCTCAAGATGTTTTGGTACCTTGGAACAGTAGTGAAGCAAACTCAGGCCGGGAACTTAGGTCTGTGAGTTGAGAGCTGAGTCCAATACATGCATCCAGCAGATGCCAAATGCGAGATCTAAACTAAGCCTAGCAAATCAGGAAAATCTCTGGCATGGAGAATTTCTGGCACAGAGACCATTTTTGCCTTGGGGCAATACAGATCAGAGATGCTTGAGAAAGCCCTCCCTCCAACTCTCCCTTGGCAGCTGGCAGGACCAGCAGCAGGGAGAATCTGAAAGAGTGGAGTGACTGAGCTCAGTGCTCAGAAACAGTCCTTGAGAGGCCAAAAAAGACAGTATCCCTGAACAATAGAACTGGGCGAAGGACTGACTCCCCTTTCCCACAAGCGGTGCGCTGGGGAGAATAGTGGGGTATGGTCCTAGAATAAATAAAATACCTAGGGTAATACCAGACCAAATGCTCACCCCTTGGAGTTTCACTTACAGAAACTCATCTCATAGAACTCAGCGGCCACTATACCCTGGAAGCGAAACCTAAAGTATCTTCCACAGCTCCTCACACATCCCACTGAGACACCAAAAGACAGTTTGTCACAGGCAGCGTGGATATATTCTCATTGACTATTCTGTTATTTGTTTTTGTTTTTGAATGTATACTGATTGATATATGATGAACAATTATACATTTGTGCACATTCATATGTGTTTCTGCTTTTTCATTTTTAGCATTTCTTGAAGGTAGCTATTTTTCATGCTCTGGTTTTTGAAGGTTAGGGTTTTGATTAGTATATTTTTGGATTTATTTTCTGTTGTCTCTTTTACAACTCTGTTTCCCTTTGTTTCTATTTCTCTCTCTCTCTCTCTCTCTCTCTCTCTCTCTCTCTCTCTCTGCTAACAGCCAAACTCTATTATTCTCTCTTTCACTCCTCCTTTAATTCTTTTACTTCTATTTTTCTCTTCTCTTCACCTTAAATACCTTTTCTACCCTCATCTGTTCTTCTTTACTCTTACTGAACTCTGTCTTTAACTGGATACATACTCATATCTGTTTATTTTTCTCATTTCTATAATTTTTGAAAGCAGTTATTTTTTTATGGATCAATATTTTGAGGACCAAGATGTTTGCTTAGTATATATTGATTTTGTTCTTGAAATCTTTTATTTCTTTTTTAAATTTTTATTTTATATGTTTTTTTCTCACTTATCAGTTTCCCTAGAGTCTCTTTCTCTTTTTTCCTCTGCTAACAGCCAATCTCTATTGATCTATTTTACTCTTCTTTTTATTTTTTACTTCTATTTTCTCTCCTCATGAGTATCATATCCTATATCACTTCTGTCCTATACCTGTTCACCACTTTTGTAAGCTTACTGTTTTACCATGGGCAATAACTGCCCATTTCTGATTATTGTGACAATCAACTTTATAGATTTCATAGCAAGAACTATTTGTTTTAATGCTGTAAATTGTTTGAATTTGTTATTATCTGTCTTCCCTTAAACTATGAGTTAGTAGAAACCTTTATGGATACTAAAAGTCCAAAGGGTAGACACTCTACTGTTAGATGGGTAGACACACGAACAACATGAAAAGGCAAGGAAACAAATCACCCCCCAAAACCCAAAATACTTCAATAACAGAATCCATTGAAAAGACAATGGAAGAAATGTCAGACAAGGAATTTAGAGTGTTCATAGTTAAATTGGTCTGTGAAATAAGGGACAATGTAAGGGGGAAAATACAGGAAGCAAAAGATCACTTCAGTAAAGAGATAGAGATTCTGGGGGAAAAAACAAGCAGAAATCTTTGAAATGAAGGAATCAATAAACCAAATTAAAAATTCATTGTAAAGCATACCAGCAGACAAGACCACTAGAAAGACAAAGTTTTAGGCAATGAAGACAAAATATATAATCTTAAAAATGAAGTTGACCATAGAGAAAAGTTGTTAAGAGACCATGAATAGAACTTTGAAGAAATATGGAATAACATTAAAAGACCAAACTTAAAAGATTTATTGGGATAGGTGAAGGCTCAGAGATACAAACCAAAAGGAATGCACAATCTCTTCAATGAAATAGAATCTGAAAATTTCCCAAAATTTAAGAATGAAATGGAAATCAAATATAGGAGGCTCACAGGACCCCAAATATACAAAATTATAACAGACCCACACCAAGGCACATTATTATGAAAATGCCTAATATACAAAATAAGGATAGAATTGTAAAGGCTACCAGAGAAAAACAACAGGTAACATTTGGAGGGAGACCAATCTGAATCTCAGCTGATTTTTCAACCCAGACTCTTATAGCTAGGAGGTCTTAAAATAATGTATACCAAGTCTGAAAGAAAATGGATGCCAACCAAGAATATTATACCCTGAAAAATTAAGCTTCAGAATTGACAATGAAATAAAAACCTTCCATGATAAACAAAAGTTAAAAAGAATTCACAATTAGAAAGCCTACTCTACAAAACATACTCAAATATTTTGTGAAGAAAAAAAGAAATGAAAACTAAAAATAAAAACTAGCAAAGAGAGTTTCACTTTGAATAGTCAAACAAAGAAGAAACTAATTCAAATTAAAAAAAACAGAAATAAATCAAAATTACAGGGAATAAAAATCATTTCTCAATAATAATATTGAATGTAAATGGCTAAATTCATCACTCAAAAGACATAGGGGCTGGGGATGTGGCTCAAGTGGTAACGTGCTCGCCTGACATGCGTGGGGCGCTGGGTTAGATTCTCAGCACTACATACAATAAAATAAAGATGTGTCCACTGAAAACTGAAAAATAAATATTAAAAAATTCTCTCTTCTCTCTCTCTCTCTCTCTCTTTAAAAAAAAAGACATAGACTGGGGCTGGGGTTATGGCTCAGCAGTAGAGCACTTGCTGGGTTCAATCCTCAGCACCACATAAAAATAAATAAATAAAATAAAGGTATTGTGCCCAACTACTACTAAAAAATAAATATTTAAAAAAAGACATAGAACTGGCAGATTGAATAATAAAAGAAGACCCAACAATATGCTGTCTCCAAGAGACTCACCTCATAGCAAAGACATCCACAGACTGAAGGTAAAAAGATGGGAAAAAAACTTGTCATTCATATGTATCTCTTAAACAAAGTAGATTTCAAGTAAAAATTAATCAGAAAGGGCAAAAAAAGGCCATTTCATACATTGGAGGAAAGATAGCTTCGTCAACAAGTGGTACTGGGATAACTGGAATTCCATCTGTAGTAGAATGAAATTAAATCCCTCTGTCTCACCCTGCACAAAACTCAAAGTGAATCAAGGACCTAGGCATTAGACAAGCGACCCTGTACCTACTAGAAGAAAATTTAGGCCCAACTTTCCATCATGTCAGCCCACAAATCAACTTCCTCAATAAGACTTCTAAGGCACAAGAAGTAAAATCAAGAATCAGTAAATGGAATGGCATCAAACTAAAAAGCTTCTTCATGTCAAAAGAAATAATTAAGAATGTGAAGAGAGCCTATAGAATGGGAGAAAATCTTTGCCACCTGCAGGTAAAGCACCTCAGATAGAGCCTTAGTCTCTAAGATATACAAAGAACTCAAAAAACTTAACACCAAAATAAATAAATAACCCAATCAATAAGCGAAGTAACTGAACAGGTACTTCACAGAAGAAGAAATATAATTGAACAACAAATATATGAAAAAATGTTCAACATCTCTAGCAATTAGAGAAATGCAAATCAAAACTACACTAAGATTTTATCTCACTCCAGTCAAACTGACAATAATAAAAAATACAAGCAACAATAAGTGTTGGAAGAATGTAGAAAAAAGGTACACACAT